ACAAGTTCAGTATTCCACCGTCGAGTTTAACGATGCATGTCACTGTGTATAGTTTAGTTTTGTTGTTCACATTTATGTAGGTATCGAGTAGGTATATCAGTATTGTAAATTGCAGTGTTTTTAAATCATTGACTTTTTGGCCATTTCATTTTTTCCTTTTGTGTCCATGGCGTTAATGCTCGTTAGCGTGACTGCTAAAAATGATGTTACAGATGCTGTTGCAGAATTTAAGAGCTGCCGAAAACGCACATATATTGATAGTTTTCAGGTATTTTTAAGTTCAAATATATTTTCATTGTGCAATGTTTCTCTATTTATGTCAGTGACCCTTTAAATAAATGTAAGTTCAATTTTCAGATGAGATACAGTATATTGTAAAGTTTTTTAATTATACACTGTTTGATTGGTGTTATTTTCTGTAATATATATCTTAAATTTCTTATCATAAGTAGCAAGTTCTTAGGCTTTTAATTACTAATTTCATATTTGCTTTCAAAATATAAGTATTCTAACTGGAAAGTTTTGACTGCACAATAGAAACCTGTTGAAGGCAAATCCTACGCTACCGTCGGTCACTGCTGACCCCCATGGCGTTTAATGTGTTAATAGGCTAATTTCTAACTTTAAACTAAGACCAGGTTAATTTAAAAGTCAATCAAACAACTTCATCGAACATACTAACCCATTTCCAAACAGAATCACAAATGGTCAATACAGGACTGGAATCCAGCACTAACCAGTAAGGTAAGCTCCGCTTAGCCAGTCTAGGGTCAGCTCTGATCCTGACTGAGTCAATTAGTGGCGTATGACGTCACTGTTGATTGATGGACGCAATCTCATACAGTGGCTGTAACCGTCGGCTGTATGATTTCAGTTTCAGTTTCAAGTGATATTGGACTGTGAATTGGTTATTGAGTTTTTCATATTCTGTACAGTTCAACTGTAAGTGTTATGGGGTTTTCTAGTGTGACGTTTTCTGGTGGTTTAGATTTGTAGTGAAAGATTTTTTTAGTATTAACTTTGGATGCCAGCGTACTCTTTTAAGTATCATGTCTGTTAAATCAGGATATATGCTCGTGTCTGTTCGAGCGTGCTCAACTAGTTTCAAGCTACGACTGGGTATCATAATTATAATAAGGTAGATGACTAATATCATTACGTGATACAAAAAGCATCTATAACTATAAAAAATATATTTATTTTTACTTTCTTCAAAAAAATTGCAGTGAATGGCAGACTTAATGCCTTAAGGCATTCTCTGACAGTCAACCATTTATTTTTAACAGTCACAACGGCAGAAAATCCAATTACAGTTAATGACAATAAAATATAAACAAAAGATAAAGAAAAGTAAAACTTAATTAAAACAAGAGTTAACACCATTCATAAGTTTCTTTCGCAGTACTTCAAGCATTCTGATAAAATCTCCTTCCATCCGTCCGCAAACAGACCACTAGTTGGATTGGAATCCAGGAGATCATTGAGCTCGGCCAGAATGCGAGGAACAGGTGTATTAGCGCGTGCGACGGTACGACATGAGGGCACGGCAAACAGCCTGTGCTTTTTACCCCGGCAGTAGTTACTTAGGACGTAAAAGCGCGATAATGAGTCCAGTAGATCTGGAGCATTAATAGTACCACGGTTTACAGGCTAAAAGCAAGTTGGTTTCTTGCCCTCCTTACCTCCAGGGAGTTGGGGAAGTGCAGAGAAATGAAGAGCTTGATGCGAAGCCAGTACAATATTAAAACATAAATAATGTAGTCACCTTAATTGTTATATAATATGTAAACTACACGCAAACAAACCATTAATAAATAAAACTAACAAAAAATTGGTCACAATAAAGATTCATAACAATCTTAAAAACTCATTCTCAAACAACAATCATAGCTGAGAGAAATAAATTGAAATGATGCGACGTTAATGAGTTCCTACTTCAGATCTTAATGCAACGGGTAATTGTTCGACTGAGACTTGTTTCAGTCGAGACTTTGAGACTGGTTTACAAGTCAATAAGAGCCTGCGGTGTTAAGAATGACTTGTTATTACGTCGAGATCGCGAGCTTGCTCAACGTGGATTAATGTCAAATGTAGTTTGTTGTAGCGGCTGTTATTTGTGCTCGGAGTCTATGAGTGATACAGTTTATGTGGACGATTTGGGATTTAATATAGTGTTTATTTACTTGTATGTATGTGTATAATGTTTAAATGATCCCCTCCGGAATATTGGAAATCAGTAGCTTCTGATGCTTACCTTTTCATTTGTATTATAACTTTCGTGAGATATATATTTTCATACTAAATATATTATTATGTTTTCGGCTTACTCACGTAATTATTTGACGAGGAACTCGACTAGTTCCAAGCCATGCTAGAGGCTCATATTCAAATGTTAATGTAACAAAAAAAAGTGGCTTGAAACTAGTCGAGTTCCTCGTCAAATAATTACGTGAGTAAGCCGAAAACATAATAATATGCTTACCTTTTCATTGTTAATATTTTGTTGTTGTAAAAGATCTGGTAGAATTATATTTAAACGATTTGTGTAGTGTGCTTAAACATCAATACAACATAATTTAAATTCTGATAATCAGAATTATTATGTAATGTGTAATGTTATTATGTAATCATTACATAGCATAAAACAAAGTCGCTATCCGTCTGTCCCTATGTATGCTTATATGTTTAAAACTACGCAACAGATTTTGATGCTGTTTTTTTAATAGATAGCGATTCTTAGTGAAGGTTTGTATGTGTTATATGTGGTAAAAACATGCATATTGCACCCGTGCGAAGCCGGGGTGGGTCGCTAGTGTATTAAAAATTAACATGATTTTAATTCTGTTATCAGAATTAAAAATATGTACTTATAATATTGATGTCTGCAATGTACTACATATTTATGTATATCGTACAAATTAGCCACATACCAACAGTTACCCAACTTCACAGTTGGCCAACTTTTTATTATTATTTTTTTTTAAAAAGACGTCGCCCCAAACTAGGATTTTCTCCTGTGTCGTGAGTGCGTTTACAAACATACAAGTTCCTATACACATGACACCCAGACCCGGAACAACAATCTGTGGATGACACAAAGAGTTGTTCCGTGCGGGAATCGAACCCGCGACACGTTGCACGGCAGTCAGTTGGGCACCCACCGCGCCAACCGTGCAGTCAAACACACTTCACAGTCACAATCAGATAGATATAAGTATCACTTCTTATAAAACTCATATGTACAATATTGACACGCGGAAGTATCAGAAGTCAGAGAAGTGACGTAATAGAGTCACTTCATACAACTTTACTTCCATGCTTACAGATCTCGTTAATCCTGTCGCCCCCCCCTCCCCAGGTGCCACTTGAGTATTTATGAGATATGGAGCGCGGGAATATGAAGGAATAAGGAGTAGGTGTATTGAGTTTGTTATTTTGTATCTGTAGTGTTAGAAAGTTGTGTTGTTGTATTTGTTGGAATAGAAATTGTAATTAAATTATTGCAGTTTTATGTCATATACCATCATGGGAGATGTGCACATCACGGCACTTAATGCCTTAATGTAACACCCACTTTTCACTTTTTTACGTTATGAGTCTCATGTAATATGGGGTGAGCCTATTGCCATATACTGGGCACAATTCTAAACACCGTTGAGATTTAAAAAAAAACCCTGTAAAATTTTGCCGTACCCGGGTATTGAACACTCGGCCAACGAGGCAGTTTTATGACGATGTTTTAAAATCTGGATTAACAGATCTTGTTTCTTCTGTGAATATGTTAGATAATTCCATGGTTTAATATAACTGGGACTAGTTTAAAGAAATATTAGCCTCTTTAGTTTTATTTTCTAGTTTTGTTATTTTTAAATTGGTTTTGATACTGTTAATGTATAATGAGTGAGTTAAAAAAGAGAAGGTCACTTATTTAAAAACAAAATCAGTTCATTAAAACTTTCGTGAGACATGTTTTCGGCTTACTCATGTAACTGTCTGACGATAAACTCGACTTGTTTCAAGCCATGCTAGAGGCTCGTATTCATGAGTAGCATTCGGCGACCAGCGACACAGCGACTGTCGAGTGCTAATCAAGTTGTCCGTTGAATAATTAAAATATAAAAAATTACAACATAATTCAGTGTTTTTCCAGGAACGTATTAATATCCACTACGTTTTCACTCAACTCTCTAATTATCTTCTTATAATAATATGTTTACATATTTTACTCCCGATTCCATACAAATACGAACAAACAAACACTTTATCTTATTCCTACCCCAGCCAAGAGGTGTAAGAGAAAAAATGAAAAAACTTGGGTAGTAGCAAGTTTGTCACAAATCGACCGGTTTTATTTGTTTGCTGAACAGTTGTTCCCTGATATAGATGAACAGAAGGCTGTATTGACGAGAACTCTTTGATTGTGCGCCTCAAACTTTCGGTGTAACCTACAAGGTTAACTATATGATTGGCGGTGATCATTTCAGGAAGAACTTCGCATTTTCTTCCATGTTTTGTTACTAATACACGAAATTTAATTACGTTTTACGTTTACGTTTTATTTTGGCTTATCGCGAAAATAGTTACAAAGATTCTTTAAATAGAACGCAATGTCAAGTTATCCGTATCACCATTTACTTCTCAAATAGTATACAAGAGCCTTATTTGCATACTCTATTTACTTTCTTTGTTTCAAACAAAATGATTTTATCTCGATCTCTGCTGAAGTAGCTAACTGTAACTTTTCATTTACTGAAACACGTAAACTTTACGACTCAAACATTCTCAAAACAATATCAACAGAATGAAACTATTTAACCGAAAGCCTTTGTTGTACACTCCACTTAGGAACTCGCCGCTACGCCGTACAGCAATTTGCTACAGGGCTACGCCGCTACGGGGCTACGAGGCTACGGTGCTACGGGCTACGGTGCTACGACGCTACGTAACTGCATTAGACGTAGCGCTAAGGTTACGATGCAATTGAATGTGATTTACTCTATCATGTTTCATGAAAATGACGGTATATTGTAATTTTGTTAGTTTGTGTTTGGAACAATAATATTTTCAATGTACAACATTATATTTATGTTGTTTATCTACAATAAGTATTGTTGTATCTTAAAAAAATTATACTGCCTTAGGATATTCAGGTGCAAAATTAAAAATAAGATCAGCAAATAGCACTATATCATATTTATGAAAGGTATCATAATTCCAACTATATCATAATTATAATTATTTCATATAAACACAATTATGAAAGGCTTTAGTATATTAAGGCTTTAGATTTCTGTATACTTAAGATTTTAATTAGAAAACGAGTTAAAACTATTTTAAATATAAAACTTTAAATTACAAACAAAATAAAGATTAGTAGTACAAACGTTTACAAGATTAAGTTGAATAAATTAGAAAAATATTTTTTTTAAATACTCAAAATTATAAAATTTTAAAAAATATTTTTACCATTACAATAACAATTTTTACAAATATTGGAACATATACCAGTGGATATATTAGTAGTATTCAGAAGTATATTAAAAATATAACATTTATATATCGCGAGCAATATTTCATGCTACAACTGAAATATTTAACTCGAACATTTTTATAGCAGACGACTCTTAAACTAACAAATATATTGTGTATCATATAACACATAAATATTATATTTTTTGTAGGCGTCAACCATTGTTAAAGGGATGCCAAAAATCTAATTTTTGAGTTCACTAAAGTATAAGAGATACTTTTATGAATTTGAAATAATATTCAGTAAAATGACTGCACGGTTGGCGCGGTCGTTGGGCAACTGGCTGACAACGCAACGTATTGCGGGGTTCGATTCCAACAGAGAACAAGTCTTTGTGTGATCTACAGATTGTTGTTTCGGGTCTGGACGTCATGTGTATGTGAACTTGTATGTTTGTAAATGCACCTACGAAACAGGAGAAAATATAATTGCAAGTTTCATTGAGTGACACAATATGTTTCTTAAACATTACTTACGTTCTAAGTTAAACTATTCTCGCCCGTACAGCAAAGATTGGGAAACATAATTTGTACTAAACTCAATTTTTTTTAGTAATAAGTATGATTTTCAGAATTGTACAATTAGATAAAATACCTGAATCTAAAAGCCTATAGTCAGCAGTCTGTGTGAAACCAACAATCGTGTAGATAATTAATCAGTAAATACTTATTATATAGGACGTAACGTTTTTTCTTCTTCTCTTCTTATAATATCTTCTGATTCACTTCGTTGCGGAAACCAAGACAGTTACTCATGTCCCTTGGACGCGCCAGACTTCAATGTTCCGGTGTTTTCATCGTTGTATCTACTGTAGATCCTGGCTTACAGGAGTTGCAGCGGTTTTGGGAGGCTGTGGCGGGCTTGTCCCTTTAAAAAAAAATATAGGACGTAAACAGAACGCTTCTAAGAAACGACGACTGGTGATGGTGAAAAACAAGTTTTATTTTAATAAGCGTAAGGTATTAAATGTTTATTTTATGTAATAGTAGTTGTAACCAATTGCTCAAGTATAACTCGAAAACAAAAACGTTTAAAATTGGTAAAACATTTTTTTTTGTCAACGTTTCGGGAGCATTCTGTATAACAAGTAAAAGAACATGCCAAATGGTCGTAGTTTTAAAAAATCGTGTTAAAGTCGTGTCGGTCGCGTCTCATATAAAATTGTTTTGAAAGAGCGCTAAGTTCACCTGCAAAGGAAGCGTGTGTCGTGACGTCACATCCGCCAGATATTTATCATCCGCCGCATTTCTGAGCGAGCCTCATAAATATGCAATTTGTTGCAATATGTCCCATATAAATAGTGTTGCCGGCAAAAAATATGTTTTGTGGAAGGATTTACTGATCTTTTTTAAATGGGATTTCTAAGTGTGAGTTAATGATGGTCGTTTTTATTTCCTTATAGCTTTGAAGTTTTCTCTGCTCCGTTAAGTGATTGATTCCAATCACTTTAGCCGTCCACGTATTCTGTAGAATAAGTTTTAATATATATACGTTTTGTCTAAAGTGGGTAATAGGTATATACCATTAACCTATTAAACGTATACCATTTAATTGTCTTCTATATATATCATTGAATCCCTATATCCCTTGGTCACGCCATCACGCGTAAACGGCTGGACCGCGCTTGTTAAAGCCAGGAGTAGGTATGACAGAAAAAAATGAAAATCAATGAAAAATCCTACAGGAACAGAAGAACATAGGATTGCATGTACGAAGTCGCGAGCAGAAGCTGGTATTTAAAATAGTAATGATAGTTGTAAATACTTAATTTTCAACAAATAAAATTAACGATTTAATCTTTTTTGAATGCAAAATTGAGCCTCATCCATCACATGTCAATTAGTTTCTTCAACACTAAAACACAAATCAATTAATGAACAATTACAATCATAACACTCTAAGAAAAAAAACCTAAAACCTAAAGTATTTTAAAGCAAGTAGCACACAGCGAACTATTCCATAATGGAATAAAATGAGGTCACAACTTTGTAATAGTCTGTCAGGCGCGCTTCCCACAAAGCAACTAATTGTATGAGAGATTCGAAATGGCAGGTTTTGCTCCCGTCGCAAATACTCGGTGTGTACTCAGCTTTAGACTTAGTTCTAGTCATATGAATGGCTTTATATATGTATGTATATGAGTAAAGTAATAGATATACATGTGTTGTATTTATAGTCCATTGACGACAAAAACGGTCAAAGGGATATTTGAAGGAGATTCTCTCCGAATTTTCTTAGCTATTTGTAATTGACGGTAGATGTACTGGATCGTTATTTATATTGCTCGCAAAACGTGCGTATAGTATGTGAGAAATAACTTATATCTAAACTAACTTCATTGTTGTAAGTAAAATTACACTTACAGTTTTTTTAGTTGACTAATAGGGAATATTAAAAATCATGCATAAGTTTCATTACCAACGATTATTTTGAGTTGTGGATCGAATTCCAAAGTTCTACTGAAGTCGTGACTCGCGAGTGGGTTAAAAGAAAAAACATAAGTTACGCACACAATTCATTTAAACAGTACTCCCAACCAGACAAAAAACTACAATACACGAGGCAATTAAACAATCTTTCTCTAAATCCCACGAGAAGAGTAAAATCCAAAATAATTAATTAACGCCTTCATTTCAGACATGAAAACTGAAACGTTCACAAAGTTAGCCAATAAATGATGCACGAGCTAACACTGCTGATGTCTCATGAACTAGCAGATCCCCAGGCTCCGCCCGTCTGAATAATTACCAAGTGAATCGTAAAACAGCAGGTACAGAGCCCGGGTTCCGTGGGGTTCCGTCAGACGGATTCAATTATTAAAAGCGAATGGTTCTCGGTATGCAACTGAGATTTATTTGGCTTTTATAATATTTTAGCAGATGTTTGCTTTGACTGGCGTGAAGTTTCAGGAACTTGTGTTTATGTAAGTGGTTCGTGCTTGTTCTTGTGTTTGGTTGTGTAGGAAATATTATTGCGCCTGTAACTCCCTGAAGGATTACACAGGGGCCTCTATATTATTTAGTTTCCGTGTCTTGTGTTGTGAAGACAGTCTTCGGTTGATTAGTTTAGTAGTTAATTACGCTATAGCAAAACTTGAAGTCTTTTGTTTGATGTCTAACCGTGAAAGATATGCTATTAGTATTGTACAATATATCTTATGAAAGGTAGCTGACCATTTTGAAAGTCTTGAGGTGTTATCCTGGAAAAAGTCCCTCTGAGGTTCGGTGTCTAAAAATCCTCGTTAACAATATAAAACCAAAATATCAAAAAGACAGAGATACTAAGAAAGTAAAACTTGTTTTCGTTGAAATATTTATAAACATGAAATTATATTTTCCCCGTAAGTGCCATAAAAGCGGTGCGGAGATATTTACCAAAGAAACTTTTACTGAGAGCCTTCAACGAGATAAACCCATATAAATGGTTGTATGGAGTTATTATGGTCAAAGGAATTATTATACTGAGGTTAATGTTTAGCAATTACTTTAAAAACGCATTAAACATATAACTAGCTAAGTATTGGAAGTTTTGAACATTTCATTAACATTCTTTCCGATATAGAATGTCACGGTTTTTAATTCCCGGGGGACACATAAGGTAAGGTAGAAAAATTAGTTATTTTCCGCCTTGGATGGATCAAGGGCCCGATACATAAGGGGCAGTTCTCCTCAAAAGGGCAAGTATCGTAAGGTTTCTATCTCTGGAGTCCTAACCACCGGTATCTTGGTTCACGCTCCCGTTATTGGTCAGCTCCTATATACTTTTAAATGTTCGTTTTTTTTACTTTTAAAATAATATAAAAAATGTAAATTTAGTGGGTTTCAAATAAATATATGGAGGTACAATTCAATCATTTTCTAGTAATAATAAACCGAGTAGATCGAGTCAACATTGCCGCGTGACTGGCCTCGAGGCGACACTCGAACATTGAAACTATTAATTTACTCCTCGCTATTCCAACATTTCCATTAAAACATCAACGAATACAATTTTAAATGAAAATTGCAATAATTCTGATGCATTTCCCTGCACCACTGAAGTCGAAATAAACTTCGTTCATTCATCGTTCATCGTTATCAATTCATTCGCTGAAGTTTTCCGACTCAAAGTTCGTCCGAGCAATCTTTTTGATGAAGTGAATAACTAATGTTGGGAACTTTGTTTATTATAACTTTAATATATAATAAATGGTGTGTTTGTTTGCTTAATTAGGTATAATTGCTTCTCTCTTACTCCAGTCTATAGTCTATTTAGTTTGACGCTAGATTGCTAGATTTGGCTAGACCGGTTGTCAAGGATTTTGAGGACTTGTGTCTAGCTATAATGATTATTATAGATATTTGTACAGACAATGAGCTCTTTGAAGTCTTTGTGTCATTTAATACCAAATTTCCAGAGTCCGGGCACTTTTAAATTAGCATATTTTATTTACCATAGGAGTCGAACCCGCGCAGTACAGCAGCCAGTCACCCAGCCACTGTACCAACTCTACAGTTACACAATTATGACTATTTAATAATAATTGATTCTGTATAATTGCTAATTTTATAGATTATCACCATTAACTCTAAACACTAAACATATTACTAATAGATATTACCAACGAATATCAAATATATTACAACTAAATTCTATTTTGCGTGGAATATTCAACGTGTATTCTATTAAATGCAGATATATAAATAATTGTATTTTACACAAACTACGTGCCAATTATATTGAATTAGTGTTAAGCTGCTAAATGATGTTTTTGATAGCTTCACATTTGTTATCATTGTGTAAATAATTCAATAATGGTCGACTGTTCATTTTGTGTAAGTAATTTTAAATGGTTCACTAGTTAATTGTGACTGGAAAAGCGCTATAGAGTTATCATTAAATTACATATAATCTAAAATGAGTAGGCAGAAGTGTATAAATACAATGTAGCCAACAGTAAACCCCGTGATGCATGAACCCTATGTAATGGGATGTCACTATATGAATTTTCAAAAACCTCAATGTCATATAGTTTATCGTCATAAATTGGGAATTGAATCCGAAACCCATGCTGTGCAATTACGCTTATGATAAAATATTCAACTTATACGATTTTAAATACAATTATTGTCTCAAAATAATTAATGTTGTTATCAAATTTCGATGGAAAAAATACTAAAGAATGTAGAAATTATTTGAAAAACATAGTAAAGCCAACAGGAAAACCTAGAGTCGTATAAATCCGATAACATTACACAGGTAACGCTTTAAATAGAGTCAAAGGGGGCTTTGTGAGTAACTCTA